TATTACACCCTTTCCCATTTAAAAAAGAGAGAGAATTAGGTTAAGCCAGCCTAGCCTTACTCCTGCCTTTTTCAGATAAGCTTACGAGCTGGGTAGTTTGTCAGAGGGCCACGCATGTAGTAGAACCTGATCTCAGCAAAGGTTTGGACACACCACCTGCGACGTTCATGTGGACAACATGGGTGAAATGTGGGTTAGCGGATGCCACCGATCAATGGATCCAGAACTGCCTTGGGTTGTTGTTTTTTTGTTTTTTTAAGGACCCGCTCTGGTCCAGTAGTTTAATACTGAGGTCCTAGAAAGGGCTGGTTTCCAAGTTTGCAAAGGATATGAGGCTGGGAGGGAGAATAACACCCAGGACTCTAGAATCAAGACTTTGGCAGGTAAACTTTCCTGCACTCAGGTGCCAAAAACAAGCAAACACCAAAGAAAAAGAGGGCAGGAAGGAGGAAGACTTGGCTTGCCAAAAGGACCCACGAAAAGGATCTCAGCCCCTTAGCAGACCACCAGTTGAACCCAAGCCAGGGGCGTGATCTGTGGGCTGCGACCTGGGGTCCACCACCTGGAAAACCTCGTTGCTTTGCTGCATTCCATGGACTGTGCGCCCTCTCCAGTCTCTCCCGAGTTACGGCAACCCTTGCCAGGGTTTCCTGGCCATAACATTCTCACAAGCGGGTTACCAGGCTCTGATCGTTAGAAAATTTTAAGAACTGTACTCTGCATGTTTGTTTTTTATGTTGGCGTGGGCTGCTGAGGTGTGTGCTTTCTTTATGCTAGAGTCCAGCGGCTTGCAGCCATTCAGGTTTTTGAGGGAACAAAGTTGCGATTTTAACTAGAACTATAAGTTCAACACAGGAAGTAACTGTTTAGGGGCCACTGGGTCTATAACTGTGACCAATTACTTTTTAAAACTAATTTCTCTCACACTCGAGGACGCTCACAGAAGTGGGCTGTGTGGCAACAAGGAATGCGCTGAAAGGCGAGGATGGACTCAGGGGGAGGACGAGCCACGAAACCAGTCCTTGGGGACGGCTGCTTCTCTCTCTCTCTCTCTCTCTCATTTCTATGCCACCCAGTCAGTGGATTCACAAGACCCTGGGCAGTGAACAAAGAAGCAAAACCCCCACCCCCACCCACTCACCCACTTCCTGCCCATAATGACAACCAAAATCATGCTATATAACCAACATGAGTGTGGTCATCAACTGAAAAAGCCGAAATTCAAACATTAAAATCAAAATCATTTGAGGGCATGATGTTCTGAAACCGTTCTTAAATATGATGCCGTTTTGAGTAATTTCTTGGATCCTGGGAGGGGTGCAGCTTGGCACACCTCAGCTGGCGGTTTGTTCCCCAAGATTAAGAGACGGGGGGCGGGAGGGAGGGAGGTCAGTGTCATCACGTCCTGAAAAAGCCGAAATTCAAACATTAAAATCAAAATCATTTGAGGGCATGATGTTCTGAAACCGTTCTTAAATATGATGCCGTTTTGAGTAATTTCTTGGATCCTGGGAGGGGTGCAGCTTGGCACACCTCAGCTGGCGGTTTGTTCCCCAAGATTAAGAGACGGGGGGCGGGAGGGAGGGAGGTCAGTGTCATCACGTCTGAAAGGAAAGGGCTTTGCTAGAACCCCTTGGCAACTGTGGAGCCTCACAAAGTGAGGAGGGTCACGCGATATGGATCCTCCCGTGCGCTTCCCTTCCCTTCTGCCTCCTCAGACACCTGCCCCCAGCCCCCCCCCCGGTCCCTTCTGGCAGGCCCTTACGGGAAGGAGGGTGGGTCGATGGCGGATTTGATGACGCCGGCATAGATGGCCAGGATGGAGAGGATGACGCAGCCCAGGAAGACCAGGGCAAACTTGTTCACGTATTTGACTCCCACGAAGACCACGGTGGCCATGCACGTGAGCACGCACGTTCCATAGACCCGCATGTTGTTCAGCAAAGCAGCTGCCTCCCCGCTGGCATCCTCAGCCTTGAAGATGGCCATGGGAGGGAAGATGTAGGCCTGAAGGGGAGGCAGGAGACCTGGCGTCAGAGACGGTCCACCCCACCCCAGACCCACAGGGCCAGTGCCGCCCCCCCCGGCCCTCTCCACATGCCTATCCCCAAGGGACCCCGGTGGAAAATTCACAAATGGAGGAAGGTCTGAGGAAGGGGACCAAAGAGCAGAGGGCGCAGGCAAGAAGACGGCTACGCTGGATGGGTGGGTTCGCAGGAACGCAAGGGAAGACGAAGCCCTTCTGGCTGGGTGAAAAGGGCAAGCCTTGTGCCAAACTGAGGGGGCTCACTCCCCCCTTTCCCATCCCTACTTGGGGCATGGCTGCCCCTCAGCACTCACCAGCAGGATCTCGATGGTGCCCAGGATGTACATGGCACCTGCAAAAGTGGTGCCCAGGTAGAAGCAGAGCCCAACGGCACCTCCAAACTCTGGGCCCAGCGAGCGTGAGATCATGTAGTAGGATCCACCGGCTGGAAGGACGCACACAAGACAGAGGAGGGTGAGGGGCCGGGGAGACAGGGGCATAAGCATAGCCCCATGGCATGGAATTCCCCCCTCCCCCCTCAGCCCCACTTGGTGTGCCCTGGCCAGCTCCCAGAGCCCCACCTCTGGCCGAAAGGGCCTTCTCCATCCTCAGGTGGCAGAGGTACCGGTACGGATCCTGCTCTTGTTGTTGTGAGGGGCACATTGCTCTGAAAGCCACAGGCTGGCTGTGGCTGATGCTTACGGGGCAGGAACGAAACCCAAGGAAGGTGGGGGAGAGGCCCCTGGTCTTTCTCCCCTCCTGATCTCTCTCTGGCCATGGACGGCTGGCCCTTGGCGCTGGCTGGTGGGGCGCCTGGTCCCCTCAGCCAAAGCCCCGACCAGCCCGCACCACTCCGTTGGTAGCAATAGCACTCATGGAGATGGCCGTCAGCATCGTCTGTGGGGAGAAGAGGGAGGGAGGGAGGGGCCTCAGAGGGGCCTGGGAATGGGCCAGGGCAGCAGGTGGGTGTGGGTGTTGGTGCAAAGCCCCCCCCCGGGTGCCCACAGCTGCCCAAGTTCCCTTCTCTCTCCCACCGCCACCCTCAATCCCAGCTCATGGCACACCATCCACGACCGGAGAAGGGGGCGCCCAGCTGCCTGCTGCCCTCCTCGGCCTGGTGCTTTTGTCAGGAAAAATGAGAGGAGACTCAGGAAGGCCGTCCCCGTGGAGGGACGGGGCACGGGTGCAAAGAAGGGAAACCACTGGAAGCCCCACCCCACCCCCCACCACAAAGCCACCAGCCACCAAGGCGGATGGAGTGGCATGCCTCCAGGCAAGGGAGGAGCCCGGCTGGCTGGGAAGGGGGTTTGGGGGTGCACGGTGCCCTTCTCTGCCCCTGGGCCGGCCCCTGGGGAGTGAGGGGCAGGGGGCACTCCAGATCCCAGCGGCCCCCCTAGCAGTGCTGCTGCAGGTCCTTCCCAGCACCTCCCAGTAGCCAGGCCCATGGCGGTGGAGGCAGCCGCGATGGCCCGAGTCCAGCCCACAAGGAAGGGGCGGGGCGGGGCGGGGGGGGGAGCCAGAGGGCTCCGTCTCCATCTGGGCTTTTCCCCCACCCAGCCGTCTTTAGCCAGGAGCTGACCGGTGGCCCGACGTGGCCAACAGGGAATCCGCTCTTCTTCGGAGGTCCACGCTGTTGACGCTTGCTGAAGCCCTGCTCCCCCTATTGGGCAGGATGAGGGCAAGCCCAGCTGGGATGCCTCCCCACCCAGCTGGTGCCCCCCCCGCTCAAGCCCCCTGCGGACCTAGCAGCCCCCGAGCCCCTACCCAAAGGGCCTGCCCCCCCCCTTGGGCTCCCGGGCCCGCCCTGAGGCGACTGGGTCTCTGGGGCGCAGACCGTGTCCTTCCAGAGGAAGGGCAGGCAAGGGGGCCCCACCTCCGGCTCCTCCCAGGAAAAGCCGCCCAGCCTCTTGTGGGACCGGCCACCAANAGGGGGTCTGGGGGCCCCACCTCCTGCTCCTCCCAGGAGAAGCCGCCCAGCCTCTTGTGGGACCCGCCACCAAGACGGACGGACGGACGGAGAGGTGGAGGGACGGAGAGGTGGAGGGATGGGGAGCTGCGCTGGGGGTCCAGGAGGCGCCCGGAGCGCTCAGGCAACGGACCGGGATTCATCAGCCACTGGAGCTCAGCCTTCCCGCATCGCTGCCCGCCCAGGCAGGTGCATCCATCCTCGGCCGAGGCAGCAGAT